ACCCGCCTTGACCCCACACACACACACACACTGACACACACATGCTGTCAGCCAAGAACATGATTGGCACATATGGCACAGAGTCTTTTTCTCTTACACGCATATGAACAATGCAATGTCTCATCATCAAATGCAAACAGTGTGACAACTCATGCTATTGCACTCATTAGCTGCACATATGAAGCATTTTGCACTAAGCCAGACCCTTAAGATCTGCATCTTTAGAAATGCAGCAAAAACATGCTTATATCAGCAGTAAAATCAGCTGCGTAAGAAATGTGTCTCTCCAGAGCAGGTGAAAGAAATGGAAGAGTTTTTGCCTGAAGGCGGTTCCAGAAGCGTTTGACTGCTCGGCCAGACAGCAAAGATGAACTGTAAGATTTACTGTACGATGAACACGAACATCTCTCCACCTGTCATAAGCAAGCTGTCAATCACACACACGGTATGTATTCAATTTGCTGTGGTTTTGTATTTGTCTTCACAGCTGACTAGAAAGAAAAATGGTGGAAAATGTTTTGAGATGTATTTATTTAATTTCCTATATTATTAAAAAGATTTGAATTCAACTGTAAAATCATTACTTTAAGAAGTTCACTTTTATCTGATCAACTCGCCTCTACCTGATAAAATTATTTTGCCAGCGTAAAAATATTGCCAGATTGATTAAAATCAATAAAACTGATTAATGATGTAGATGTTTTTAAGACTTATTTTTAGCATTTTTGCCTTTATTATAATAGGAGAGATCAGAGCTGACAGGAAGCAAAGTGAGAGAGAGCTAAGGGGGGGTGGGACCAAGAAAGGTCCTCGAGTCGGGATTCAAACTCGGGATGCCCGTAGCGCAATGGCATTGTATGTCGGCACGCGCTGCTCACAAGGCTATCGTGCTGATAGTAAGTATGTTTTTAAGGTAGCTTCTAGAGTGTAAAACCAAAATGTTTCATTAACAGTGTTGGGGAAAGTTACTGTTAAAAGTAATGCATTACAATACTGCGTTACTCCCTAAAAAAGTAACTAATTACGTTACTTAGTTACTTTTTATGGGAAGTAATGCGTTACGTTACTTTTGAGTTACTTTTTAAATCTGGGCAGGGCTAGCTTGTTTGTTTTTATTATAAAAAAGTTATTCTTTTACAAATGTAAAAGCCCTTTCACACCAAAAGTGAAATGAATACGCCTCATGCTGAAGGAAATGTAAATTCCCGTCTGTACAGTAGAGGGCGCAGCTCAAACAAATTGCATGAAGAATATGACGCAGGTGAAGAAAGTTAAACACTGTTCATCAATAACATAATCAGTAATGAAACACAAATGTGTCATTTTTGCATAGTATGGCTGAATTGGATCATCGAAGGTCGGTAGCAAAGACATTGGTTAATAAAATGGTATTAAATGCATAAATAATATTTGTGTTGTTTAACATATTTAATTATTGCAGGTTTGTATAATATTCTGAGTTTGCATTTGACGGTTTTTATTCATTTTGAGGAATACTGATTCTGTTTTTGTGCAGGTGAGATGAGTAAATACATGTTCATATTTAGTCTAGAACTACAGTAACATCATGTTCACAGAGCGCACACAACGTCTCTGCGCTTGCTCCTGATTTCTCTCAACATGGCAACATGACAGCTGTCAATCAATACATGGCAAAACAAAGTAACTAGCGTTACTTATTTGAAAAAGTAACTCAGATATTTCCTTCTAAATTACACAGTAATGCGTTACTTTACTAGTTACTAAAAAAGTAATCTTGCGCAACTTACATTACTTGTAATGCATTACCCCCAACGCTGTTCATTAATAACTTGTAATTCTTTAGAAAACCTTTATTTTTAAGAGGGTAAAGTTGTTTTGTTTGGCTGCAAAACTTGCCACCATTATGCCAGGGTGTTTGTGGGTGATGATGACAATAAGCTGCATGATATTATTAATGTCCACAGCACAAACAATGTGGCTTGAGCTACAAGCCTGAGTTTATTGCTTTGTGTTTATACTCACCTTAGCTATGATTAAACTGTGATCCTGGCTGTTGTAAACATGACTAATAACAATTATAATTGGAAATATGATGCTTATTTAAAGCATATGGTTCTGCAAAAGTTCATGACGCCATGATTTCAAATATTTGTTGAGCCAGGATGGAAGGATGATGGAAGAGGGAGAGACAGTTCTCTCATTCAGTTCTCATTCTCCTCTCTAAACATCGCTCTAATTCTCCTTTCATTCGACAGCCTATCACACCCACACCATTCCTCTCCCACACTCATTCATCTTTCCTCTTGTCTCATTCGCTCTTTCTTTATTCCTCCCCTTAGGTCTTTTTCCTCCCCTCCCATCTCTCTCTTACTATTTATTCATTCAATCTCTGTCTCATTTTCCTTCTATTTGTCTCTGCCAGGTTCCCTCACCTGGGTTTCTTGATTCCTGAAATCTCATTTTCCTTCCTGTGGAAAGTGCTTCTCAAACATTTTCAGGTGGTGGACTCCTTCAACAAAGACTGCAGACCACTTTGCACTCCAAAAAAATGGGGGAAACCACCAACAACATCAAGAATTGCAAACAGTTTACCAACAAAATTGCCATTCATTTTAAAATACATTTTATAATTTGTTATTTATATATATTTTTTATTTGTATTCTTATATTTATAATTTGATATAGTTTATTTTTTGAATACATAATTTTATATATTTTTATACAACTTTTTCTACTGTTTTATTTCATTGAAACAGCTAAGCTAATGAACTGAAATAAGACTTTATCATGCATTTATGTCAACAAACTTATTCCATATTAATCAATGAATCAAATTAATGTTGGTGCTTTTTAAAAATTATTATTCTAATTATTCACGTCTATTTTTTTCTACACACCTCTATTTAAAAAGCACCCTTCTCATCAAGTTCATCATCATACTTCACCTTTGTCACCTCATTTCTATCTTCCTCCTTTCAAATCCATTCATCCGTCCATTCTTCCTGACCACCTGTGTCACCGTGGGTCTACCTGTCACGACTCTTCAGCTGTGTTTGTGTGTGTATATGCAGATGGATCGTTCTTAGACTCTTGTGACCCTATTCAAGCTGGTTTAATGAGCACTTAATTAAATTCTTATTGAAGAGGTGGATTTAGAAGAGGAAGAAGTTAAAAGGAGTATGAGTAGAAACACTGGCACAGTGGAAATTCTCACACTCCTAAGGAAAACTCACACCTGTGATGAAGTGCGTGCGTGAGATGGAGAGATAAATGGGTCTCTAATTCTTTGACAGAAGGACAGTGTGTTCTTGATCAGCAGGTCTTGGCTGAAGTTTCTTAATTATGCCTTAATTAGCACAATTGCTTTGTTAAGCCACTTCCTCTTCCAAGGCTGATAGGGAGCAGCAGAATGACCGCTCATATCCGCAAATTTAATTACTCCCTCATTCCAGTTCATTACCCTCACAGGGTCAAAAGGTGATGGCCTTTAAGCCTCATTGTGTTTGCTGAGATTTTATCAATAATGTTGTCGGCCGATGTGTATCTATGGAACATTTAATGGGTCGTTATCGCACAAGAACTTTAGTTTTGACTGCAAAGAGAATGTTGATGTACTGAATGATGACATAGCTAAATAAATAGTAAAAAAAAAAAAACAGCCGTTTATTCAAGCAAACCAAAGTCATCTTAAAGCTTTCAAGTGTACTGTAATTGCTGCAGCTCTGGTGTCACCAAACAGGATTATAAAAATAAAAGTCATTGTCATGATTAAAAGGTGTTGCTGTTTGATTATCAGGGTGCTCTGGGGGAGATAAGCACTTTAGGTTCTGTTACAGACAGTTCTCTCCATCTTTATGATTTTTTTCACCCTTTTTCTCCAAGGTGAAAGTCTGATTGCATAAAAGTAAAAGTACACCTCTCCTCATCAAGACTGTACAATCCGTGCCCGTAGCACATTTCAGAATGAGTTGCATGGCAGAGTGTTAAGGGCAGTGGTATTTTATACTGCAATTTTTTTTTTCCTCAGGAAAAAAATTAATAATAGATAAAAATGACAAAAGCACAGAATCAAATTAATAAAACTTAAGCTTAATAAAACTTAAGGAAAATAAATTTGTCAATGGGGTAAAAAAAATACAAATAGAAATAGAAATAAAGGTAGGGTTTCTTACCCTATCGCCAGACATTTTTTTCCTGGTTTTAAGTGTAAAATCCCTTAATTGTAATACATAAAAAAAAATAAAAAAATAAAATAATTATGTCACTCAAGTAATTGTATGTTGATTTATTAATGCTTTGATATTTGTACTGGAAAAAAAGACAAAAATTCTGAGGATTTTATTTTTTTGCATTATTATTTATTTATTGAATCAGCTTATATTTTTGTTTTTGTTTTTTATTTTAATTTTATGCAGTTTTGTCATTTGTATATTTCTATTAGGTTTAATTGTAATATTTATTTAATTAGGTTTTTTTTTAAGTAGTTTTAGTCCTTCAACTTGAATGCCAAGATATCTGACATCTAATATTTTTATTTAATTTTTATTTTCTTTCAGCTTTATTTCAATTACAGAAAATAATTTTAGCTTTAGTAAGCAACAACATCATTGGTTAGGGGTTTTAATTGGTCAGTCAACCGGATAGTCCCTCCCCGAAAATGGCACCATTAGTTGAGCCAGTGATACCATGCAAGGCTGCTCAAACAAACAGCAATGTTTTGAAAGTGCCACAGTATCAAAATCAACTACAGGTGAAGTTGTCACTGCATATTAACTGGGCTATAGAAAGTATTTGTAACATACATATTTAAACAGTTATGAGATCAATACTTCACATTCATGTGCCAAAATCTCCAGGCCTCACATATTGGCAATTGAAATACAAATGCAAGCAACCTGTCAAGGCTCCTTTTTACCTCAACTCTGAATGTTTGACGTTCATTATATTTTCTTTGACGTTCATTATATCCTTGAGTGCCTGAGATTCAGCTCAGCAGAGACGCTGGAGCTCTGACTCACCATTGTTGGTGCACATTGACCTGCCAGAGATGCCGTTGGATCCGATATGGTGGTGGCCTCCTCCTCTGTCCACACCCCCGGGCTCGCCTGGCTGTTTGAGCAGTTCCGTCAGGGCCCTAAAAAGAGACGGGATTGTACGCCATCAGTTTCTCAGCAGGGCACTTGGCAAATAAGGGTGAGCAATACAAACCAGACATGAACCCAGGCCAGTGTTTTGCATTCGGTCCAAGTCACGTCTCACTAATTCAAGTCGTTTGTCTTCAAGTCTTAGATACTTGGCATAACGTATCTTGAGGAAATGAATGAACTTGAGATTTCAGCGAATAGTGCGATTTTTAGTAAGCCGTGCTCCTAAAGTGCTGAAGATAAATTTCTGGAAAGAATTAGGACATTGCAAAGTATTTTTAACCATTTTCTGTAAATAAATGTTTAAATTATGCATTAAAGTGATTACAAAAATGTAAAGACTGCAAATTTAAATTGAGGCAAACACTTTTCACAGTCAATTAAAATGAGAAAATCCTCATTTGAAAGCGATTACAGCTAGATCACATTAGTGTAAGTGAACAGAATGGTTTCTAGCATTTCTGCAACACTTTCACTATTAACACAGCAATGACCTGAATCAATACATAAATGTAGGTCTACATGTTCATTGACCCTTCGCAAAAACCCACCCATCACTGTAATGCCTCAGTTCACAAGTGGCACATGAACCGATCATCTTTTCATATTTACTTAAAACATGAAATAAACATGAATGAACATCAGAACATTTCAACCATAGAAAGACGTCAATACACTCCATTTTTCAAGTTTCAGTCCACTGAAGTTAATCTACTCTACTGTCTGATTTGTTTGTCGGACAAAATGGTGGATTCTGCATTATGATTGGTCAGATTACCTGTCAATCAAGCTCCCTCCGAAGGGTCAATTGTGAATGAGGGCATAAACAGGTAATAGACAGGACATCATGACGAGCACAGTGCTATGCTCCTATACATTCCCTTGAGTCCAAGCAGATTACCGCTGCAGTAGACAAACAAAGACGCCGAAAGTTAAACCCCGCAAACCTGACATCTATTCGGTTTATGTGTGACAACGAGCCTGATCTCATGATGAAAACGTACCTGTGGGAACTTTCTTACAAGACACAAAATACATAGCGCCATGTACGTTTCATGACATATTCGATGTTAAATGTCCACTGAATGGCCGGTTCATTTTTTTTTTTTTTTACCCCAGAACAGATGAACATAGGCCTACATATGGTACATTTTATGTGATGTTGGTTTTGTAAGTGTCACCGCAGTTCTGACTTGAAATGTCCATTGAGTTGCACTATAACTCTAAAGGTCCTTGCACACTGAGTCCGAAACTTTCGTATGCGTTTTTCAGTTTTTTTGTATTCGTCATCCTTTCCTATCAAAATGCTTGCTACGGATGCGAAAATGCAGAAAATCGAGCCTGGTCCGAATTTTTTTATGACGGACGAAAGTTTCAGAGGCAGTGTGTAAAAGTGATTGACACAACGTGAGGTCATATTTATTTTTCAACGTGCGAACATTTCGGACGAAAAATTCGGACTCAGTGTGCAGAGACCTTAATGCACCGTGACGTTTTACTACACCTAAACCTACCCGATAGTATGATCAAAAGTGAATGTGACGTAAAAACACAATCGCAAGCATGCCGTTTTAGCTTGTTTTTATGATCTTTCATCAAGAGTCATGTTTTTCACAGGATTCGTACCCAAGGATTTTGTAAGCTAAGTCCAACTCCATGCCGGCTGAGCTACCAAGCAAGCTTGTTACGTCCGGAAAGAGAAACATACAGTGTGGAGCTGTAATCATGACTGTGTACAAAAATGATTAAAAGTGCTCGCTGTTTTACCACCTCTAGTATTCATTTCTGTTGGAAACTGCAGTTATATGTACTTACTGGTACACATTTTGCGTCTTGCGAAAAAGCTCCCACAGGTACGTTTTTGTCATGAGGTCAGGTTGGCGACACCTGTGGCCTCTATTCTCATTGAAGGACACATCAGCAGCAACTATGTGACGAGATGAAGAGTCGGTTTAAAATTAGATTGCATCATATTCCATTTTTAAACAGAAATCATTCACATAGTATAAGAACTTTAAAGATAGATGTCATTGTCATCAAACACCATATACTGGTTTGTTTATTTATATATGACATTTTTATTTTATTTACTTCTTTGCACTCGTTTGTGCCTTTTGTGTTCAAATATTATTCTTAGTAATTATTCTGTATTTCAAATCAATTCTTTCTTTCTTTTTTATGTCATTCGGTCTACCCTATGCTTTTGAAGAACGTTGGCTGTGGCTCTGTTCCTTCCTTTGTTCACTAATTCCTGTTCTCACCTTCAGAATCTATTCAAAGCCTTCACTGGGAGCTTCAGTGACCGTAACCTTGGCTGATTGTCCAGTACTGAGCCATATCTGAACTCTCAAGGCAGCTATAATGTCTATAATGCTTAACTAACAACCAACCCTCTCAATTCATCCATCCCCTACTGGCAAGTGCTTCGGTGGTTGCATTAAAATTGTGTAGGTGCACAGAAAGCACAAGTGTGACCTGATTCCAGTGCAATTCAAAATGATTCTGCTCGGCTGCTCTTCAAGGTTCCGTTATTTCCCTTGTGACATCATTGTCTCAACATTCTCTATTCCACAGGCTGAGATTCAGGGCAGGATGGAATCTTGGGACATTTCTAAAGCAACAGTTGCCAGGATCGCTGGGCTAAGGCATACAAGAAGGGTCTGTCTCTTTCATGATAACGACCAGGAGAACGAGGCACTCGGCTCCGGCCAGCTCTCTGCTGTATGCTCGACTGATGTGCTGCCCTGTGAATCATTTCTACTGTCTCCTCAAAGCCAGTATAGGCTACACAGGACGAGGGCTGTCTACAAACTTCCTGTTCCTCTAGCGAGCCGTATCATATCCTGGCCTTTGGTGGACCTGAAGATAGCTTATTTTACACTCAGGCAATTGTGAAGGTAAAGTATGTTAAAACAATCAGTTAATTTAAACAGTCTATATTATTATATTACTTTTTTAAAAAGAAAGAGTAGTAATTTTAAAAAGCTGATTTTAACTGTATAATATTGTACTAACACTTAAATCATATATATATATATATATATATATATATATATATATATATACAGTAGATATATATATAGAGAGAGAGAGAGAGAGCGAGAGAGAGAGAGATTA